CATTTTGAGTTAATAACTACCAACCCCGTAGCCTTGTAATTTTGAACCCGATTCAGAAGACAAGGGAACTCCTGGCAGGTATTGGGAGAAATTTGCCTTCATGGTGGACTTTTTGATGGAATTAACCTGCGCCCGGTGGCTGAGCGGTAGCGCTTTCGTGCCACAGGTCCCTGGTTCGATCCTCGTGCCGGGCAAGGTTGACTCAGCCTTTCATCCCTTCAGTGGGTCGATAAATGAGTACCAAGCATGCTTGGGAACTAAACACTAGGGGTTCCGCGTTCGGCTGACCCCCTAACCGGAACGTCTGCTTCTGCACCCCAGAGCCCAAGGTCAAGAAAACTGAGATGGGCACAGTAGGCCTTGGCCCTCCATGGGCTGTCGCGCCGCTGAGTTTAGTTTAGTTTTTAATCCGCCTTTGCGTTACATCGAGAGGGAGACCATGAAAACCTTCCACTGTTAGCCTGATGGCAAGGGGACTTTAACCCATGATCCGTCTACCACTGAGGATATTTTACGTTTGCACTGTGGTCGGTGCAAGCCGGAATTCGTATGAACCAGCCTTCGCTGGAATTCAATCCTGGTTCATCTTATTGGTCTCTCTATTCCCTGAACCATCACGGCTTTTATCATTAAACAATTTAGAAAGACCAGTTTATTTAATTTAAGTAGTCAATTAATTTTTGTTGACTCGCCACGTTTAGATTTAAGTACCGTTTAAAAACAAGTGATCAGAGTTTTTCAAGATATTAAAATATGCTTTTGATCAAAGGGTGTTCTGTTCTTCCGGTTTTATGAATATCGAAGGAAATTTTATAATACAATTCTAATGTTCTTGAAGATTGAAAATTAATAAATTCTTATGTATCTTTCTTAGGTATTATATTTCATTTTATTCATAAATTGCATTTTTTTTTTACTATTTAGTTTTTTCTTTCTTAAATTTTTAAATACAGATTACGATTTATAATTTTTTTTCAAAAAAAAAAATCTTAAGTAAAAAGAAAAACGTCGCGAATCGGAAAGGCATTATTTTTAATGTAATTTTTTTATGGTTTTTAGAGGGTTTTTTTTTTCTTCATTCTTTAAGAATTTTTAGGCTATTACTAGTTATGATAATCGATGAAACCATTCGGCGGCAAAAATCATCGTTATATTTTTACCATTTTTATAATATTTATTATGATGTATTTTTGGAGCTCTACCCCTAATAACAAACATTCATAATATTTTAAACCTAATAAAAATCGGACATTTTTTTTATAAACAATTATCTGCCTAAGTTTTCCTTAATCGTATTATCACAGGAAGCACTCGCTCTCTATCAATTGTTTAGCACTCAAATGTTGGTAGTTTGGAAGAGGGGAAAGAATCTTGAGGTTTTCATGTTCTAAATTAACGTTTAACAGTGTTTTTCGAAGATCTATCTCCAAGAAAGATAAAAAAAATAAAAAAATTTAAAAAAAAAACTACGATTTAAGTATCTTGCACTCGAGATAAAGCTATAATTTTCTACTCTGCATCCTCTTGCTGTATAAAGAATTATCTACACTTGAGAGCGGACAAATAGGGGCTTAAATACTATTAAAAGTTATCTAATTTTTTTTTTATCGCCAATGTGGTTAGAATTTTTCCATTTCGTTAAAAATTAGTAAAATAAAGGAATAACTTTAACCATATGGTAAATATATTTGTCATTATTTACACGAAAAAAATTTCTACACCGTACACATTTAGTTGAAACGAGCTAAATTTTTTTGAAATTTTAATAATATGGCGATTATGCATAAATAATGCAACTATAAATTACAAATCGTTTCATAGCTTTATTTTTCTTAAAAAGTATTTTAAGGGATTAAACTGGAAAAAAACTAACAAAAAGTTTTGAAGTTTTATGAAAAATTATTTCATTCTAGTGCTTAAATATTGATGTGTAAGTGGTTAATGAGTTTTATGCAAAGTTCTACAAAAGATTTTATGCTAATGTATCAAATATATTTTGAAAAAATCATGTTAGCAAAAACTTAAGATCTTCATAAAAATGTTCTTTTTATAAATCAAAAAAAATAAAATTATTGTGTAAAATCTTTCAATGAACCAATTATTTCTTGAAACATGTTTTTGTAATCCAGACATTGAGAATTCTATTTTGTTTCTTTTTAAACAGTAGTATAACGGTTTAAAGCGTGTATTTCATCTGCTTTAAGGGTCGAGTTTTATTTATTTGCGTTGTGTTCTCATTAGCTATTCCCACCCTTTTACGTTTAATCGCTTTTAAAAAAATAAATGACATAAAAAGAAACCCTCGAACTCTATTAAATGTTCGTTAGAAAACACTAGTTGTCGTTTTGTGAAGTTAAAAGTGTTCGCGAAGAGCTTTGTTTTTAATGAACATCGTTGTTCATTACACTTCACCCTCCTACAATGAATGTCATTGTTTCCTCCAGAGTTTGACATGAAACAATGACCGACTTACTCCGTCACACGAGAAACTTTTTTTTGCATTTCTCTTTTACACAGAGAAGAACATTATTCTGACGAAATTTAAAAAGAGAATAAAATGTCGGAAAAAATTATTGAAAATATCTCAATTTTATAATAAAGTTATTATAAAAATCATAAAAACTACATTTTTCTAGTGGAGTAAGATTCGGTTTTTGTCCGACCTAAAACGAGAAAAAAGAACGATCACTATTTTCGTTACGCGCCAAAAATCCTCCCGGGTTTTTTCGATGTTCATTACATATTTCGTTTTTGGTCTGATAAAATAAAAATATATATATATTTTCGATTTTTTAGTCGATTAGAAGAACCTAATCATTAATTTTTTTTATCTTATTGAAATTATTATTATAGTTAAATAATTATTATATCACTTATAATAATTATAATGCTCTGTTTGTTAGTGAGAAGTCTTCAAAATTTTGATTGGCGGTAAAAGTACGAAAACCTTTGCGTGCACCATTTAAAAAAAAGCAATTTAAACTTGCTACAAAATTGAAATTTTAGCAGTAGAAATAGGGTCGACGTTTTGAAAATCACTGCTTCAGAAAAGTTTGCATTACCATCGGAAATTCCATCCTTGAGGATGATCCAATGACATGCCATCGCAATTTTGACCCTCTGCGCAAATTCGAGCACTTTACGGAAGACCGATGCACCCCGGTCTCTACGCAGGGTGATCAAAGTGTTCACCCACCCGCTTACTGACCTCAGCCGGTGATGCTCGACGTCGGTGTTCTACTGGGAAACGTGTCTTTACAATTAGTCTACTGCGGGACTAATGATAGCACGTTAGGAATGAATCTCATTTTATTGTTATCTTTGTCGTAAATTTACCTCGAATTTTCAATAATTGACGTACATTCCAGATAAAATTCTGTCACATCTTAACATGTTTAAGTAAAAATAAAATTCAGTTTTGAACATTTATTAAGTTTTAAAATTAATCCGAATATACGCTTCCAAAACTCCTCTCTCATGAAAACGTTTTAGAAGGTAACTCGGAATAGCTCGATCGATATTGATCTATCAACGAGGAGGCGATAACAGCCATTTAAAGTGATCGTTTAAAGAGTCATACCAAAGATAATAATTATCTTTTTAAATAAACGAATCACCGCAGTTATTTGTTGAAAGAGCACTCATCTAAGCTTTTTCTCCTCTCTGTCTGCTGTTAAGAAGGATTTCAAAAAAGGTAAACCTTTATTTATAGATTCATTTTTATTTAACGTTATTTTTTTCTTTCTAAATTAAGATTACTACTATAGATTTTAATTTAGCGACAGATTTTTGAGAAACTTACATCTTAATGTAATATTTTCCTCCTTTTCATTTTTGTTCCTTAGGGGACTGATCGCAAAGACACAGTTCCCAGTCGAACACCGAAGTAAAGCCTTACTGCCTGCTGTCAGTAAGCGGGTGGCTGACCACTTTGATGTACCTGCGTAGGGACGGCGGGTGCGTGGTATTGATCCACGTTAAACTGTTCTACCGTAAATTGCTCTCGACTTCGCGCGCAAATCGTCGGGCTACCAAAGTAGGGGAGCGATCCCCTCTTTAGAGGATCGAAATTGCGATGGTATGTCTTCGGATCATTTTCAAGGATGTTTCCCAGACCGTCGCCAATATTAAGCAGCTCAAGTGCGACGTCAATAAAATACCTACCTGCATATCTCTTCATGAGGCAGGCATCAAGTATCTAAATAGTTAATATGAATTTAATGAGAAGCACTAACCAGAGAGCATTCAATTAGAAAGTTTCAGTTAGAGAGTATTAGTTCAATTCGAAAGTATCAGTCGAGAGGACAAATACTCTTTCCCTCTTTTAAAAAAAAATTAGGGTTCAACTTGAATGTTTGGGACTTATTGGGTATTGTTGCGACTGAACAGAAGACGAATCGGAGAAATACGTTTATTGAGCAGCAATAGCCATTCCATTCCATTCCAAGTTGTCCCGCAGTGGACTGATCGTTAAGACACGGTTCCCAGCAGATCACCGAAGTCAAGCATCACTGGCTGCGGTCAGTGTGCGGGTGGGTGACCACTTGGATCAGCCACCGTAGGGATCGAGGGTGTGCGGTATGGGTCCTCGTTAAACTGTTCTACCGTAAAGTGCTCGACTTCGAGGGCAGGTCGTCGGGCTACCGAAGCGAGGGAGTCATCCCCTCCGTAGAAGATCAAAATTGTGATGGCATGTCTTCGGATGATCCTCAGGGATGTTTCTCAGACCGTCGCCAATAGCCCATTGTGCAGCTCTAGTGCGACGTAAATGAACAACAACAACAACCATTCCAAGTAGCCATATGCCATATTCTATTTTTATTTATTTATTTTTGCAGACGAATAAGGATATTAAAAAAAAAAAAAAAATACCTACCTTTAAGTGATCCGAGTAGGGTACACACATGTGTACGAAATACTGGGCAATGGCAACCTTTAAAAAAAATTAATAATTATCAGTGTTGAAGAAAAGGATGTAGATACATCCTCTAGAAAAGAAAAAACTTTGGCAAGGGGGGAGATCTGAAAGAGGGAACGATATCCTGTTCGAATTCATTCCCTTTTGTCTATTAAATAGGATTACACAATGAAAAGACGGACAACGATTCAAAAAGTTAGAAACCGCTGAATGCAACGCTGGTGATGAAACGAAGATAGCTGCGGCGGCCGTCGTCCGGATAAGATCAAATCAATCACTGTTGTAAGACACATTTCATAATATGTGAAATATCCATAAGACCTATTAACGAAAAAAAGTAAATAAATAACGATCTTTAAATAGCGTGCGTATCATGCGCTCGTACTAATAAGAGAGGCATTTATTAAGTTTTTGTATACCGGCGCCACCCACGCCCTTTGCAGTCAACAAGTGGCTGCTCCTCCCCACCCACTCTCCACTACCCCTGCCGACTGCTTCCAGAGACCTGACACTGTTTAACTTTTTCCGTTTCTACCGATCCACGTGACTTGCCCGGTGTGTTGCCTCGGAAAGCCGGTGTTTTCCTTTAATAAATAAATAAATAAAAATAAAGGGTGAGATTTACTTTCTGTTAATTATTTTTAGGATTTAATTTATCATTTATGATGAAACGGTGCATGGGCTGTTTTCCTTGTTTTATTTTTCACGAATTCGAAGAGAAAACTGCGCTTCGATTAATTTGAAGTTGCGTTTCAATGAATATGGAGACTGATATGTTTTGTGTTTCAGGTGTGTTTAAAAATGTAAGTTATTTTCTATTATACTGTTATAGATCTTTATTTTTTTTCTTTTTCTTCTCATTTATGGTGAATCTGTTGTTTTTCTTTTTGTTGTACGCGATACAAATTACATGAGAAAACTATGCTTCCAATAATTTGAAGTCTTGTTTAAATGAATATGGAGAGAGATAATTTTGTACTCCAGGTACATTTAAACTTTGTCTAGTATGAGCGAATTGCCAATAACCAAATCAAATTTCGTAGAACAATTCCTTAAAGGAAAAAAAAAAGAAGATTTTTTATTTTTTCACCAGTATTGCTTTTTTTTAAATATGTTGACTATATTAGTATACGACCCATAATTAGATATTTTGGTAATTTTTAAGAAATTAATTATGTAAAATGGCAAAGAAATTGTTATTGGAATATATGTATATATATTCCAATAACAATGTATTTAAATAAATTACAATAAGAATTCAAATATTGTATCAGTATTTCTCATCTAACTTTTCAGTTCCAAGTTACTAAAATCAAAGTTGAATTTGTTATGTTTCTCTGATAACTGTTGTCACAGTTTGTAACAGTTCTTTTTCAAAAATCATTATATGAAGAATATTCAAATTCAGCTTGTGCATACGTCAAAAACAAATTCATAACTTGACTTGTGACTTTAATGACCTGACATTTAACCAAATTCTAGGACTGTTATTTATAACACAAATTTGATTCTTCTCACTAAATAAATTTAATTCGTACTCTTTCTCTTATTTGTAGTGAACTAAATTTATAAAATCTTGATTCCCCCAAAAGAAACTCGATCATTTGGGATTCCGTGGCCGACAGATGATTTTAGATTTTCAACTTTTTCTTATCCATATATTATGAAAGTATGGGTAGGCGGAATCATCCCCTATAGGTTTGGGGGACTCCCGGGGGGGGGGGTCGCGTGAAGTATCATTCTATACGCTTAAAATTCAAACAAGCTCTTTTTTTCCTGTCTGATATAAATTTCTCGAGATATCTCTATTTCAAACAGTTTTGCAATGGCAACTTTTACGTCAAATTGGTCCTTCACACGTAGCAACAAATTGGCAGTACCGTCTTTACGCATGGGCAGGACCCGACTTAGCCTAATTGGGACCCGGGCCAAAATCTTCTTTGGGGCCCCCTCTGATTCACTACTTCAGTAATGAAGAACCGAACTTAATGGGGATGTATAAATTTTTCACTTCATTATAGATAACAAGAAAATTGACTAGAAACCTAAAATAGTTTTGAAATTTCTCCCCGTCAGACGAAATATCGTCCATTTTATTGATTTTCTGATAATTCTATGTTCATCATGCCGAATGCAGTTAACTTGGTCATCTAGCTGCGAAAAATGCATATCTTTGTTGACATAAGGGTGAAATTCAGCTAAATTTACGCAATTACGATAGCTCAATTAAGCCAATTAGAAGCTTGTATTTTTGTAAACATATCGCATTTTACGATATGTAAAAATCGTAATTGCAAAAATTTTGCTGAATTCCGCCAAGAAGGCCATGCATTTACGAAATATAAATTGTGTTCATATGATAGATTAATAAAGAAGCTAACATAAAACTGACGGATTTTACACTCTACTGATATTTGTTTAAAAAAATGTTCATTAAAGAAGAAAACGTCAAATAAACTTTATATTTGATTTGGGGCCCCCCTCTGATGTTTAGGGGCCCGGGGCAACTGTCCCGTATACTCCTGCCTTAATCAGGCTCCTCACATGAGCACACCCGGGCAGTGTCCGGGTCCTCAAGCACTCTATAAGCTCTTGAGAATCTATAAATTGCATTAACAAAAACTAAGAATAAACAATATTGCATAATTTTTGAAATAAATATATTCTCGTGAAAAAATATGAATTTTTTTTCCCAAAAATAGTGATTGATTATCATACAAACACCAATAGTTTATCACCAGAAAAACTTAAAAAGTCTACCGAAATCTACTTTTTTACGTTAAAATGAAGTTTTATAGGTACTTAACTCTTTAAGTCATAATGTCTCTAAATATGTCTAGACCACCTCCAACTCTGTTTAGTATTTATAACGAGTTAAATAAAGTTGTGTCATTGCGTCTGATGTGCATTGTAAGATGTTTAAATAACTAACTTTTTAATAGTTTGACGAAATAATTCGTACGTTTTGAATTTTTTTTTTGCTTGTTATACCCTTAAGTTTTTTAGTTTAATTATTTTTTATTAGCTTCTTGGTTCTGAAAATTATTTCATTATTTGAGGATTGCAACTGGTTAGCTTCGATATTTTTTTTAAAATGATGTATATGGGGGGGTTCTAATTCAAAAGTTCCGTTTTTAATTTAGGACCACACGTTTAAAAATTCTTTATTTTACGTGCATTGAGTTTTTGGGGGTAATAAAAATGTGTTTAAATTAGTTAAAATTATTGCATATCTTAAAATGCTTTATTTTATGTATGTGAAGTTTTTTAACCCGATTTTTAACAGTATGGCATGCTACGACTACATTAATAGTCGTTGTAGCGTATCTACCACTACAAAAATGTAATTCCAATTCACTAGTATATAAGACTAGTTAATTCGATTCTATGTTGGGGTACCTTTTCATAGAAGAAGGTTGACATTGTCGATAACTTCTCTCCTCACATTGGTGACCCGGACGTGATATGAACATGCCTACCTTGACAGAAACTCCCTCTTCGATATGAACGCACCGATCATGACAGTAACGTCTACTTTCGATGGATGGTCCATATTGAACATCGCTACTTGTGACTGCGACATTGTCCTCCCCACGCTGTTGCTTCTCAGTTTCGATCACACAACGTATACACTCGGCTGGGCAACACAGGGGCGACCACGAACGTGAACTTAATACAGCTCTTACGATCAACACTCAAAAATATTGGTGATCTTAATACAGCTGTCCCGTCTTCTCACAAAAACGGCATTGAATCAACTAGTGGTATCCGTTCATCGAATACTGTCGCAGATATAATTCTGGTGGGGGAGTACTGTAGCGTATCTACCACTACAAATATTTAATTTCAATTCACTCGTATATAAGACATGTTAACTCTATTCTATGATGGGGTACCCAGAGATGCCAACTGCTCCGGACACGCCAACATAATTTTTAAAAAAAAAGGTAAATAACTATAAAGTAAATTTTGCAAATATTTGACGATTTTTGCTTGCTTTTTGAAAGGTATAGTTTGGCATAAGTACCATAAAGTGGTAAATTATATAACCCAACGAATTACTTAGAAATAGTGGTGGATAAAAAATCTACTAAATTGAATTTATTAAACCAAGAATCACAATTGATAAACTACCACTTTAAAATATATATTTGCTGTCTGGAGGAAGTTGGCATCTCTGTGAAGACGTCTGAGACAAGTCAATTAAAGAAACAAAACATGACGTCTTCGTTTGTCAAGGGGTAAACGGTTCTAGGGTCTAACCTTAAATATTCTAAATAGTTAGTCAAAGCAGTGAAAAAGCCTGCACATTTTAAGTGCAAAAAACCGTTATCAATATATATATTATACATGTTTCACATTTAACATAATTTCTTGAATTAACATCTATAATTAAATTACCCACTAATGCAGAATAACATACCTTTAGAGTAAATTATATAAGAAAGAACTTACCTCTTACAAGCATTGCGATATTGGATTTTAAAAACAAAAAAAATATATTAATGCGATATTGAATTTTTAATTAGCGTAAATACGAATAACTTTGCATAATTTTTAGATCGCGTAAATACGAATCGCAATGCGTTGTTTTTAAAGCATGAGTAAATGCAAAAATCTATGTTTGGATGTAACGCGTGAACACGAGTTGCGATATTGGATTTTTGAATCACGTGAATNTATTAATTTTTTTCACATGCCTTTCTTTTTGAAGTAACGAGGCGGTTTCTATTTAGATAACGAATTTTTATAAAAGTTCTTAACGATAGAAAAAACGTATTGCTGTTTTATATTAACTGTGTCATTTTGGAATCCATTCTTTACATAGTTGTTCATTTACTTTAGGGAACACGCGGAAAATTATATTTTTTCCTTTTGTTTTTCTAACAGAATTTTTGCAAGTTGCAATTGCGCAAACTTGCATTTCGTTAATAGTTTTAAAATTTTGTAAATTCACCGCAAAAACTGAGGAAAGTCATTATAGAAAGTAACAAATTTCTTAGAATATGTCACAAATAGAAATGCTCCAATATTAGTTAGAGCTAGTAAGGCCGAACGCTCCGTTCTTGAAGTAAAAGTGCGAGCTTTGCGCCAAAGTGACGTCACTAGAGAAAATCGGAGGATTTGCGCGGCGAGAGTTTCTTCAAAGGAGTGAACCAGCCCTTCTATTCTCTTTAGCCCTGATTTTTGCTTGCTTTTTAAAAGGTATAGCATGACATGAATACTATAAAGAGGTGAATTATATAAGCTTACAATAACTATTTAGAAATAGTGGTGGATAAAAATCTACTAAATGGAATTTATTAAACCAGGAATCACAATTGATAAACTATCACTTTAAAATATATATTTGCTGTCTGGAGCAAGTTGGCATCTCTGGATACCTTTTCATAGAAGAAGGTTGACATTGTCGATAACAACTCTCCCCACAGTTGTAAACCCAACATTTGGGTCGGCTGTTCAACGACGCGTATAATCTAAAATGTAAAATAAAAAAATATCCATAGGGCAATGAGATATAGCCTCTATTTTTTATGATACTAATGATGATTTGTATCGGTTTTTAATGTGTTAAAATAACTATTTCTCTCTTTTTTTGTTTTCCAGATGCAATGGAAACCAACTACCTAGTAGCACTGTGCTATTTCTTCGTTCAAACTGTGTTTGTGTGTGTCGCCCTCACCCCAGTCATTCCCAACCTGTATTCTTTCATAGACACGAGGGACCCGAGTCCCATGCAACGCGTGGTCGTCTTCAACAAAACACGTGAAGTGTATGTGGGTGCGCGAAATTCCATCTACCATTTCGATAGCGATTTGCGTCTCAAGGATAAAGTGTCCACGGGACCCAAATTGGATAACATCAATTGCCTCCATCCTTCCTATCCCTGTGAAGAGCATCAGAAGAAACCCACGGATGACGACACTAGGATATTGGACGTTATTCACCATCCCGATCTGCCACTCCTCTTGTCTTGTGGCACCCTCTACCAAGGTTTGTGCCAAGTGAGACCCTTACTGGACATGGCTTCCAACCATTTCAGTTGGGTCAAACCTTACAATGAAACCGTGGGATTTACGGCCGGTCGCGAATCTACGGTGGCTTTCTTGACCAATGGATACGGCGGTAACCCTTCTCTTTTTAGTGCGGTCACTTACGACGATCGACCTCTGGAATACACCCCTGATTCAGTGTCCAGCAAAGTTCTGGTCACTCGAGATGACGGATTTGCGTGGGAGTACAGTCACAGTTCCGATGTCACCTTTACTGGAGTTAATTTTGATAATAACTTTAAACCAAACTACAAGGTAAGCTTTTTCATGTTTGTTTTTACAAAAATGAATGTATGGTTAAGAAGAAAAAAAGTAGTAATAATAATTCTACAAAAAAACATGTGGTTTAGCTTAGCTGCCCTAAAATAGTTCTCCAAATTGACTTCCTTTAAACACCAAAGTTTTAAGTCATTCAAATGAGCAAAAGTACAATTTTCTGGGTTGCTAAATGATATTGATCTTCGATGGTTGATCTTTTCATCGTTCTTTGAATTTTCACAAAAATAAATACTTCTTATTAACGTTTACATGTTCAAATGAAAATTAAGGATTTATTTTAAAAAATTTACTTAATAGAATTAAAAATTTACTTAATACAAAATGTATAATTTCAAAAAAGTAAACCGATTTTTTTTTTAAAAATAAAAACTTCACCACTGCAGTGCTAACTGCTACTCAGTGCTAATCTGATGCAGACGCAATATGGCGAGCCACAGCCATACGCCGTACACGGTGATCTTCCCCTGAATAGTGCCGAGTGACCTCTCAGAACCCGATCTGGAAACAGTACTTTCCCTCTAGACCATTGCTTCCAACAATAATGCACGGTGAGCCGTGGTGGCTTAGGGGATAGAGCGCTCGCCTTCCAGTGAGATGTACCGGGTTCGAATCCCAGCCATGGCTGGTCGATTAGAATTCCGCACCGACCACAGTGCTGACGTTAAATATCCTCAGTGGTTGACGGATCATGGGTTAGAGTTCCCTTGCCGTCAGGATTTTGTGGTTTTCCTCTCCGTGTAACACAAATGCAGGTTAGTTCAATCAAAGAATGCTCCACGTAGGCAAATTTCTCCCAGTACTTGATCCAGGAGTTCCCTTGTCTTCTGGATTGGTTTCAAAATGACAAGGCTATAGAGTTAAACATTGATGGTCGTAAACCCTAAATTGTATCGACTGTTCAACGACGGTTATAAAATCAAATCATATCATGCACAGTGTTGTACATTTCTCTCCAGTCTTTCTGCAATAACTCACCTTCTCGCAGCCCTATTACAGTTCTTTCAATAGTGGCATCTTTTTAAAGGTATTCTTGACTAACAGCAACTCACTATGTCAATATTTAACGTAAAATAATGCTTGCACAGTGGCGCTGTTAGCGCTAAACTAATGCGCCAGCCGCGAAATTTGAATAGACATCTTTTAGTTCCATAAACAAGCCCACCTATTTTTGTTTATGTAGCTCCTCTTGTAGTACTCTTTCTTGGTGTTAGGATTTTTCTTTCTTTCTTTCTTTTTTTTCTTCTTGCGCCAGAGCATAAGTATTAAATTTTATTTTTTTCGTACTTTAACAGACGCGAACAATTTTTTATATTCTTCAAAATCAATTGTAATTTTCGGTTTCATTTTCGATTGAAATTATTGTCGCAGAGTTTAGTTTCTTTTGTGTCATTATAGATCTTAAATAAGTTTTAATAGCTTTACCACTATTTTTTATAGCATAGGTTTTTATACTATAGGTTAAAATAAACTAAGAAAAACCTACATACAACCTAAATTACAACAATATTAAACATTTAGATAAATCAGACGAATTAAAAAGTTATCAATGCCGCTGTTAGCTAATATTTGTACAGAAAAAGAAGTTGCACTTGAATTTCCCAGAAAATCTTTTCATTACTATTTTATGTTTATATCTAAGTATGTAACATGTTTTTACGATGAATTGATGTTCTCGTTGTTTACAAAAAATTTACTAAGATCTTGGTAATCTTTATTCTTTACTAATTATCTTTGAAATTAATCTCTCCGTCTTGTTTCTAAATAACCCTCGCAAAATATCTGCTTGAATTTAGATAAAAACTAAAATTAAAATTACATTTTGGAAAGAAAGGGGAACAATATCTATTGAAAGAAGAAAAAAAAAACACGTTAATAATTTTTGATTCAACGATCGGATTTTGACATACTAGGACTTAAGCTTAATTGTTCGAAGGGGTGATCTCAAAGATGCTAATTGGTTTGACGTAATTTGAAATCACGAAATCAGACACAAATACGTAAAGTCTCTGAAAGAAGTCTCAATCTGAGAAATATGATCCTATTTGTTTGGCCAGGACAGCGAGAACTTTAAAAGCGACTAAAATGTTTTTTGCTCACTACTATAAAATTCGTTACTACAAAGATTAATACTTAATTAAAAAATTAGTTTTAATGCTTAAATTATTTTTTTTTATTATATTATTTAATAATAGTCACAATGATTTTGAATTCTGAGGTATACAAATTTTTACATCATTTTTAAATACTGTAGTTTTAAATGACAAAACATACTGAGCTGAAAATAATAAATCTAGGTAGGGTCTGAATATCACCTAGGCCTGGTAGGCGCGGTCTTAGGGCCCACATTTTTCGGGGGGCCTTTAAAAATTAGTAAAAAGTCCACAATATTACTTTTTTTTTAAATACTGGAAGAAATTTTTTTTCTCAAAGAAGGCATTTTTTTATTTCAAAATTTCTTTATATTGTGATAAAACAAACTCGTGTAAACATTGCATTTATCAAATTCCAAAGTACAGCTGAATTTTAATTGGTGCAATTTTTACTCCAACGGCTTAAGCAAATGCAGCGAGAATGTATATTCGCAAAGTCTCTTATTAATGATTAGTGTCAACAAGAACTTAAAGCTTATTCTTAACAAATATGTAAAACTGTTGATGGAAGGCTACAATCTTTAAAATAATTCAGCTAATCAATGACTTTTAGCAAAAATCACTGATTTCACTTATTTGTAGTCATCAAACTTTTTATTTTCACAACATTTTATATTTTGCTTTAATATTTAGATGCGTAAATTTTATTTTAGAAAAATAATCCTCAATTGTCTGCTTTCAAAATTTTGTAGAATGTTTCTCTTGAATTATGTAGTTCCATAGATTATTTTTATTGTTAGGACTACTCTTCAGAAATTTAATTTCAAAATATTTTGTTAAGAGCCCGGAAATTTTGTAGGTCTTGGGCCTGAATGTGTCTTGATTGGTCCCTGAATCTAGGACAAAATGAAATGAGAACCTAAGTCATTCTCTAAGGTCACTTCTCTGTTTTTGTCTGGCTTGAAGCTTAAATGCAATTTTTACATAGAGAACTTTTAATCGTGAAGAAGGTTAATCTAGGAATATATAAAAATTTTTACATGGAGAACTTTTAATCATTAAGAAGGTTAATCTAAAAATATATAAAGATTTTTACATGGAGAACTTTTAATCATTAAGAAGGTTAATCTAGGAATATATTAAAATTTTTACATGAAGAAATTTTAATCATTAAGAAGGTTAATCTAGGAATATATAAAAATTTTTACATGGAGAACTTTTAATCATTAAGAAGGTTAATCTAGGAATATATTAAAATTTTTGCATGGAGAACTTTTAATCATTAAGAAGGTTAATCTAGGTATATATAAAAATTTTTACATGGAGAACTTTTAATCATTAAGAAGGTTAATCTAGGAATGTATAAAAATTTTTGCATGGAGAACTTTTAATCATTAAGAAGGTTAATCTAGGAATATATAAAATTTTTTACATGGAGAACTTTTAACCATTAAGAAAGTTAATCTAGGAATATATAAAAATTTTTGCATGGAGAACTTTTAATCATTAAGAAGGTTAATCTAGGAATATATAAAAAATTTTACATGGAGAACTTTTAATCATTAAGAAGGTTAATCTAAAAATATATAAAACTTTTACGAAGAGAACTTTTAATCATTAAGAATCGTGCGCCAACTTAAAGCTTGGGGGGGGGGAATTCTTACACTAAATAAAACGAATAGTTTGGGGGGAATTTAGACGGGAGAATTTTCTTTTTTTTCAGTACATAAATAAAAGAAGCATTGTCATATTATGAGCAAGCAAAGTAGCACTCTTTCAAACAAGCTAACATGGAAGGGGGAAGTTAGCAAATTTTTTTTAGGGGGGGGAATGAATGCTCCCAAGAGCTTGGGGGGAATGGGGGCCACTGAACACAGCGCCAGAAAAAACTTTTATTTTAGCATCAAAATAACTGAAAAACGACTAGTTCAATAATTATTTTAGGAAATTCCTAAAAAATTATGAAAAAAGGTTAAAAAAATTTGTTAAAATTTAAATACTTTTTGCCCTAACGATATGTTAAGAATATTATGTTGAACATAGTAAATTTTTTACCACAGAATAAAATTCCACATTTCTCAAAAATGAATTTAAAATATGTAATTTAGATTTGTACAGTTGCGTTGTGTTTCCTCCTTAATATTTTTTTACCCCCGACCCCCTAAATGATAAGGAATTTCGTCATTTTTCCCCCCTCTCTATTCTGGACACAGCTTGAAATATGTAATCAAGAAAATGGATGTAGCTTAAAATGCACGTTTAAGAAAATGGGCAATGCTTGTTTAAGAAACCTTTGTCAAGCAATGAATTCGCTTAGTTCGTGTTTAAAAAAGTAAGGATAAGTATACACATATTTCCTCATTTAGTTGTTATATATGGATTGAGCATTGCACATTATTTGATGTATCTGTTACGGTAAATTTGATTAATCCGTTGATTGTATATAATAACCGGTATTTATGTATAAACACCACTAAATTTGGTAAATGTGATAAATTTTTGAAAATGTATCAAATTTACCGGTTTGTTTGCATAATTCCCAACTCATAATGATAAATGTGACATAAGTTCCTCACTTTCCGAAAATTCGTTCAGTTTGCCTAACTACTTAGCTTGTGAAGAAAATGTAATTGAATTAAATGTAGGAGAATTTGTGAAGAAAAATTTGTTTTGCTTCACGATGTTCCAGATCTACCCAATATCACTTCGAGAATGCGTTAGAAAGACATCGCTTTCTGGAGGACATCAGTGATGCGATGTGTTTGCAGGGGGCAATGCGAGTCTGATAAGTGCAAATGTACAAAATCTGCCAAACTTTGAAATTCTAAATGTCATAACAGTCTAATATGCTTAAATATATGTAAACTTGCAATACTTAGTAATTTG